GAAATGGGAAATCTTTTGAGAACAACATTTCAAAGGTACATTTATTTACATTTACATTTAAATTTAATTTAAATGTAAATTTACATTTACATTTACATTTACATTTACATTTACATTTAAAGGTACATTTACAACAACATTTATATATGACAAATAGTATTTTCCTAACTCAAACAATGTGGAGTTTACTATGCTACAGACATTTTTAATGTCTCTTAGATGTTCACATTCTGTCAGGTAGTGGTCAAGGTGGTGTCCGTCACTTTCACAACAGATTCTGCCACTCCGCTGCTCAGTTGTTGTTTCCAATCCGAATCTCCATGGATAGTATTTGTATCCAAGGCGAGTTCTCGATATTACTGATTCTCTTCCACGACGACCTCTTCGTTCATAATGATTGGGACTGCCACCTGCATCCGCATTGTATCAGCGCACAGATTCACTGTTTTTTTCTATCCCGCTTTCTTCAGTTACCTTGTCACGGTGATGTTTCCTGGCAATACCTCTGATTTGTAGCAGAGTCTTGTGTATGATGTATTCAATATGGTCTCCTTCAGCACCCCAGCAGTCAGCACTGCTGTTCGTTCATTTCAACAGATTACAACATGGGAGGGGATCCACAGGAATTGGGCGACTCATCACTGATTGGTTAGTACTCTCATTGCTCTCTTGATTTCAGCCACTATCGCAAGGCATTCTGTCCAATTTTTATTAAAGCTTCGTAGTGCTCTTTCAAGAAATCTTAACACCATAAAAATGACAGTTAGTTCTGTTTGCTTTGAAGAGGCGTAGTTTGAAAGGCATTATTCTTAATTACAGTGTTTGCTGCCCCAGCTCTGCCATTGATAGGCTTAGATGACTGTTACCACCCTTGAGACTAAATAAGGTTCTTCTCCCCGCAGTGCAATAAAGAAAATAATAAATCGGCCTTGCCAACAACTGTCTAGGGGTAAATATACATCACTGCATAAAATGGAGAACAATATATTTATGCTAAGGGGGACAAACATAACAACACTTAATGTATAAATAATAACCAGAAATATTCTTCAGCATGCAAATCATAGAAAACCTCTTTAGTGAGACATGAGCACCATCACTAAGACATGGATTAATTAGAGAGATATATACAATATCATCTAACCAGATAATTAACATTTATATGGGCTAAAATAACAGTGACCAATGACTTAACTTAAAGCATGTCTCCTCTCGACAGCAGCCGCCACGCTTCTGCCCACGCCTTGGACCGCAGGCCAAGCGTCTACCAAAAAATCAACTAACTGTCCACACAAACATTGTGGAAAATCTAATAATAAAACGCAGCACTAATATTCAAAACATTGTTAAACTAAAGAATAGTAAACACTGGTACAACATTCCATACAATAATACAGAAACCAAAATATGGGAATAATCAATGTACAACTATAAACACTCGATTGACAACAATGTTCCCACACTGGCCATATCCAAATATGGTCAACCGCCCACACGGAGAAACTACATGAGAAATTAACACCAAAAGCCTCACACAATATAATGTAACTCAGGCACACTACTGCATGCTATAATATATATATATATATATATATAACATACAAATCTTATATCATACAACTAGATGCTATATTAAAGAACAAGACAATAAAGTAATATGAGAATCACGAGTAATGGCAGAATCCTAGTGAGATTCGTAACAATGACCCATCAGTGTAGGTTTGATCTAAGTCATTCCCAGCTTCTTTATAAATTTCCTCAAGATACTTATGCCTCATTTCTGGTTGTATCATGTTGGACTGTTTCATCGTCAACTCGTTAATGATAATCCTATATGGTTCCTCTTCCTAAGGGGGGGGGGGTGTAACATTTCATCAGTCATGACTAGCTCAAGCAGGTGAAGTTCTTCGAAGGAGACTGACCGGAATTACCGTTTTTTCTGTTTCTTTCTGTAAGTAGAACAGAATTTATTTTTTCTTCCCAATATCACTGTAATGGGGATCTCTGGCTATCTTAATTGAAATGAATTAATTACCAAGAGAGAGTGCCAAACCATTACGACTTTATAGCACTTGGAAGGAGTCAGGATTAGGATTTGAGATAGGACGAGGGGGGAAGGAATGGTGCCCAACCACTTCGATGGTCGGGGACTGAATGCCGACCTGCATGAAGGGAGAGCGTCGCTTTACCGTGCTGTCCAAGGGGCTGGACATCTTAATTGCAAGCCTAGCATTCAGTTCCCTGATTCTGCTTCTAACACTTGGAAAAGACAACTCCTCTCGTAGACTGGAGGTTTTGGTAGTTCTTTTGACTCCAAGAATGATTGTTATGGCTTCATTTTGTATGCTCTCAAGCCTTTTCATATAGCTTTGGGAGTAAGTGCATAAAACTGGTGTGGCATAGTCTATGACGGAGCGCACATAGGCTGTGTCCATCATGTTAAGCACAGCAATAGAGGCTCCATGCCCATTCCAGGTCATAGCATCTGGTGCCCTGGGCTGGCTTCTACATGTTCCTATGAGTTGGTTGAGCTCCTGTTTCTTTCTCTTGTTAGAGCCGATAGGGACGCCAAGGCACTGATAGTGGTCAACCCTCTTAAGTGTTTCACCTATAATTTGTAGTTCTTTATTTACACACACTTCCTTCCAAGGAGTTCAAAGAACTGTTTTATTTTTCCCAAGGTTGGGTCTTGTATTAGGACATCATTTGCATATCCCACTTGCTGCGTTCCTTCCGGAAATTCAATATTTGAAATGGCGTTCATAAGTTCATTGAATAGTGTGGGGCTTAAGAATTCTCCTGGGGAAGGGGGGGTCCCGAGTTCCATACTCATTGTTCTTTAGACTGCTCCGTTGAAGCAGACCTAGGCTTTCCTCTCTGAGAGGTATTCAATCCATTCAATTCATTTCATGAGTTTTTCCTTGATGCCCATTAATGCAAGCGATCGTCCACGATCATAATCCCTTGTGCTTTGTCGAAGTCAAAGTCAACTAATACAGAGTACTTAGCTGTACCATTAGCTACGTAACTGACTATTCAATTTGCTGTGCTCCGTCCTTTAACAAATTCATTGACCCCCTCCCCTTACCTGCACATTTTGTGTAACAGTCGGTTTAAGAAGATCCATTCAAGTATCTTGCATGTGCATGACACGAGCCTGATAGGTCTGTAATTATTAGGGTCGTTGGGCTTCAGTACAGAAACAATAATTGCGTGTTTCCATTGTGTGTGCAGCACTCCACTTATGAACAATTTGTTAAATAGATGGAGTAGTGGCACGCCAGACACCTCACACAGTGCATTGAGTATGTCGAAGATGACGCCACCTTCACCAGCCGCTGTACTTTTGCCATTTTTCATAGCCTCCATTACTTCCTGGGCTGTGATTGGTAGCCCGTAAACGTCGTCACTAGATTGTGCTCTTGTTATCCTAAATTGTCTGTTATTATACCGCAAGAGCTGTTCCCTGCTTATTTCTGCAGGGAAGGAGGAACGTGATGCTGTATCACTCCACTTGAGTATTTGTTCCTCAGCCTTACCTTTGGGATCTTTGTGAGCAGCAGGCTGGGTTCTACTTCCGTTAGCTATCTGTATCTTTGCCCTCACATGTATTGCGGATGTTTCTCTTCCAATGGAGCTAGTGAAGTCAAGCCATTGTCTTTCTCGCTCTTTAATCTTCTCTCCCTGGCTACATGACACAGTTTTAAACAGATCCTGATTTCATCCGCTTTCAGTCGGATGTCCCCGATAATCTATACTCATGTTTCTTACATTTGTATTGAACATCTTTATGTAATCGTTCTCATGCCATTTTATTTTCTTCTTCCGAGCGTTACTTCGCCCAGTCGTACGGCACGGAACTCTGAGACAGCTCTCAATTTGGTAATTAAAGTCATCAACAAATATATCAGAGTCCTCAGGGATTTGGTATTCCATGAACCAGTCACTCACCTTGTTTATAAAGTGCGGCCGCAAAACAGCTCCGAGTGGTAATCTTTTTATTTTATTTTTCTCTTTCCTTTTCCTGCTAATGTCGACGGTGGTAATCGGTGCCCAGTGGTCACTACATAAACTGTGCAAAATGTGTGTACTGGCGTTCGTGTTCTGTGCATTCAGCAGGATAGCATAGTCTATTGTTCCGACTCTAAGGTGAATTGGCTGTTCATCACGTAGGACTTTTCACTTACCCTAACATAGAGGGACAGTTTCCGTCCATTGACATTGTGCTGATGATTGTTGGCATCAAAGTGTGAGTGCCTGGCATTAAGACCACCGACCAGTTGGGTAGGTTCTTCGTTAGTCATTTCAGGTAGTGTGTTTTGTTGGTTTTGTCAAGTTTGTCAAATCAAATTTGTTTTGTGTCACATTTAGGTTGATTATATGTAGGGCAATATTATTTGAATGTAGGGTTATCTCCAGTGATTCATACTCATATCACATGTGAAGATCATGAATAATCTTTGCAGGTATGGTGTTACTGATATAGGTAATACGACCCTATTTTCTTTCCCCAGTGGGCAGGGAGAACTTGTGATTATCGCTGAACCTTGGGCTGCAGTCATCACCCAACAGTCTTTCCTGTAGCACCATGACATCAGTTCGGTGTTAACGAATGTTTTGTGTGATATAATAAAGTCTACTACGAACTCCATTGCAGTTCCATTGTAGGATGTGAGATTTTATTCACTATGGTTATCCATTGTGGAGGGTGTTGGTCATCAGGTGTGCTGTGTGCCGGATTGTCACTGGTGAGACTGTGTGCACTGGTGTTGTTCTATGTATTGGTGTTACTGTGTGTATTGGTGCCACTGTTCAATGGTGTGGTTGTGTTCACTGGTGTTGTGCTCGCTAGTATTGGTGTGTTCACTAGTGTTGGTGTGTTCATTGGTGTTGTGTTCACAAGTTTTGCTGTGTTCACTAGTGTTGGTGTGTTCACTGAGGCAATTATATCACTGTGTGCTGTCATGTGCCCTGGCTCCATGTGTTACATCAACATGTACCAAGTTGCGACCTGCTAGACTCTCCCGAGACGATCATTGATCCTGCAGAACTTGGAATATGACCTCCAGGTTCTTCAGAATTTTTCACAGGGCATGCTACATGATCCTTTTGCTTGTTTTTTAATTCTTGAATGAGTGAGCGATTTTTTATCACACGGGTAATACCGCTATTATACCACTGGTGATATTGCTTAGATGTTGGTTGGTGGGTCAGGAGGGGGAGTGGTTGGTTGGGTTGGAAGAAGGGTGTGTTGGGGGTAGGGTACGGCAGGAGAGCGGGTTGACTGGGAGGTATTAGGAAGTATGGGTGGTGAGGTAAGGTTAGGGTTAGTGAGGGAAGTAAGGTTAGGGTTAGTGGGTGAGGTAGCGGTGAGTGGGTTAGCGAGAGGAGGGAACTGGTTGTGCCTGCGTGGGGTGCAGATGGGTCACCCCACTCGTACCCAAGGCTGTTGTTGATCTACTGTAAGCTTCAATCTAGGCTGGAGCCCTGGGCTTGCTGTTGTGCTGTTCACGAAGCTATTTCTACCCCTGTTCAATAGTCCACCTGTGGCTTGAGTCGGTGTTCTTTTCGATCCCTCCCAATCAGGACTCATCCTGCAATATCGATTCTTGGCATGATGGGACTGCCTGCAGTTGACACATTTAGGTGTTACACTGCCACCCTCACCCCATTGAATTTTATCCAGACAATGTTTGGCGTTGAGAGAGCCACTGCAATACCCACACCGTTGGGTAATCCCACCGTTGACAGTTGCCACATCAATATTGCACACAGCGGTTGCTTGATTTTTGGGTAGTCCCCAAGGTACATTGTTGTGCTGACCCAAAATATCTTGTCAAGGTCTTTGAGAAAGTCCATGTCAGGATGAATACTGTAGTTCTTAATTGTAACTTTAGTTTGGTCTGTCGGTTTGATACCAACAATTTAATATTCTTACCTTGCTACTCATGGCTTGTCTCTGTGAAGAACCGCAGGGCACTGCCTCCATGCACCCGTGCAATGACGTTGCCACCTACACATCATCTCTCTATGTGATACTCCGATCTGTGGGCGCAGGCGGCCTCAATAATTCATTTGCACTTCTCTGCTGATGTCAATCTCGACTTCTCTGTAATCCTCGTCATCCTCTGTTGATTTTGTGTCACCGCCACCATCATTGTTGAAGAGCCCCGGGCCGGTAACTCCACTCATGCTGAAGAGCCCCGGGCTGGTAACTCCACTCATGCTGCAGAGCCCCGGGACGGTAACTCTACTCTTGCTGTACTCACCTAGTCGTGTTTGCGGGGATTCAGCTTTGCTCCTTCGGCCCGCCTCTCAACTGTCAATCAACTGTTTACTAACTACTTTTTTTCCCACACCATACACACACACACACACACACACACACCAGGAATCAGCCCGTGACAGCTGACTAACTCCCAGGTACCTATTTACTGTAGGTAACAGGGGCATTCGGGGGTGAAAGAAACTTTGCCCATTTGTTTCTGCCTGGTACGGGAATAGAACCCGCGCCACAGAATTACGAGTACTGCGCGCTGTTCACCAGGCAACCAGGCCCCTGGTAACCTGGTTGATAGCCTGGTGTAAGGGACCGGGCCAGTAACTCTACCCATGGCGTAGAGTCCCGGGCGGGTAACTCCACCCATGCTGTAGGGCCCTGGGCCAGTAACTTCACCCATGCTGTAGGGCCCCGCGCCGGTAACTCCACCCATGCTGTAGAGCCCTGGGCCAGTAACTCCACCAATATTGTGAGGCCCTGGGCCTGTAACTCCACCCATGCTGTAGGGCCCCGGGCCGGTAACTCCACACATACTGTAGAGCCCTGGGCCAGTAACTCCACCAATATTGTGAGGCCCTGGGCCTGTAACTCCACCCATGCTGTAGGACCCCGGGCTAGTAGGGGGAGCCGGTCGGCCGAGCGGACAGCACGCGGGACTTGTGATCCTGTGGTCCTGGGTTCCATCCCAGGCGCCGGCGAGAAACAATGGGCACAGTTTCTTTCACCCTATGCCCCTGTTACCTAGCAGTAAAATAGGTACCTGGGTGTTAGTCAGCTGTCACGGGCTGCTTCCTGGGGGTGGAGGCCTGGACGAGGACCGGGCCGCGGGGACACTAAAGCCCCGAAATCATCTCAAGATAACCTCAAGATAGTAACTCCACCCATGCTGTAGAGCCCTGGGCGGGTAACTCGACCCATGCTGTAGGGTCCCGGGCAGGTTACTCCACTCGAGCTGTGGGGCCCTGGGCGGGTAACTCTACCCATGCTATAGGGCCCCGGGCCGGTAACTCCACCAATGCTGTAGAGCACTGGATGGGTAACTGCACCCGTGCTGTAGGGCCCCGGGCTGCTAACTCCACCCCATGCTGTAGAGCCCTGGGAGGGTAACTCCACCCATGGTGCAGAGCTCCAGGCTGGCAACTCCACCCATGGTGTAGAGCTCCAGGCTGGCAATTCCACCCATGCTGTAAGGGCCCGGGCAGGTTACTCCACTCATGCTGTAGAGCCCGAGGCCGGTAACTCCACCTACGCTGAAGGGCTCCGGGCCGGTAACTCCACCCATGCTATAGGGCTTCGGGCCGGTAACTCCACCCATGCTATAGGGCCCTGGGCAGGTAACTCCACCCATGCTGTAGGCCCCAGGCCGGTAACTCCACAAATGCTGTAAGGCCCCGGGCAGGTAACTCCACATGCTATAGGGCCCAGGGCAGGTAACTCCACTCATGCTATAGGGCCCCGGGCCGGTAACTCCACTCATGCTGTAGAGCCCCGGGCCAGTAACTCCACCCATGCTGTAGGGCCCAGGGCAGGTAACTCCACCCATGCTGTAGGACCCCGGGCAGGTAACTCCACCCATGCTTTAGGGCCCCCGGCCAGTAACTCCACCCATGCTGTAGGGCCCCGGGCCAGTAACTACACCCATGCTGTAGAGCCCCGGGCCGGAAACTCCACCCATGCTGTAGGGCGCTGGGCCGGTAACTCCACCAATACTGTAGAGCCCTGGGCGGGTAACTCCACCCATGCTATAGGGTCCCGGGCATGTAACTCCACTCATGCTGTAGTGCCCCGGGCCAGTTACTCCAGCACTGCTGTAGAGACGTGGGCGGGTAACTCCATTCATGTTCTTGGGCACCCGGCCAGTAACTGCACCCATGCTGTAGGGCCCTGGGCCTGTAACTCCACCCATGCTGTAGGGCCCTGGGCCGGTACCTCCACCTATGCTGTAGGACCCCGGGCAGGTTACTCCACTCGTGCTGTAGGGCCCTGGGCGGGTAATTCCACCCCATGCTCTAGAGCCCCAGGCCAGTAAGTTCACCCATGCTCTAGGGCCCTGGGCGGGTAACTCCACCCATGCTGTAGAGCCCCAGGCAGGTAACTCCTCTCATGCCGTAGGGCCCCGGGCCAGTAACTCCACTTATGATGTAGGGCCCCGGGCCGGTAACGCCACTCATGCTGTATGGCTCCAGGTCAGTAACTCCACCCATGCTGAAGGGACCCAGGCAAGTAACTCCACCCATGCTGTAGGGCCCCGGGCCGGTAAATTTACCCATGCTGTAGGGCCCCGGGCCGGTAACTCTACCCATGCTGTAGAGACATGGGCAGGTAACTCCACCCATGCTGTAGAGTCCCCGGGCCGGTAATTCTACCCATGCTCTAGATCCCTTGGCGAGTAACTCCACCCATGCTGTAGGGCCCCGGGCCAGTAACTCCACCCATGCTGTAGAGCCCTGGGCGGGTAACTCCACCCATGCTGTAGGGCCCAGCGCCGGTAACGCCACCCATGCTGTAGGTCCCCGGGTAGGTTACTCTACTCATGCTGTAGGGTCCCGGGCAGGTTACTCCACTCGAGCTGTGGGGCCCTGAGCGGGCAACTCTACCCATGCTATAGGGCCCCGGGCCGCTAACTCCACTAGTGCTATAGAGCACTGGATGGGTAACTGCACCCATGCTGTAGAGCCCCGGGCTGGTAACTCCACCCATGCTGTAGAGCCCTGGGAGGGTAACTCCACCCATGGTGTAGGGCCCTAGGCTGGTAACCCCACCCATGCTCTAAGGAGTCCGGCAGGTTACTCCACTCATGCTGTAGAGCCCGAGGCCGGTAACTCCATCCATGCTGTAGGGCCCCAGGCTGGTAACTCCACAAATGCTGTAAGGCCACAGGCAGGTAACTCCACTCATGCTGTAGAGCCCCGGGCCAGTAACTCCACCCATGTTGAAGGGCCCAGGGCAGGTAACTACACACATGCTGTAGGACCCCAGGCAGGTAACTCCACCCAGGAAGGGTGGAGCCGGTCGGCCGAGTGGACAGCACGCTGGACTTGTGATCCTGTGGTCCTGGGTTCGATCCCAGGCGCCGGCGATAAACAATGGGCAGAATTTCTTTCACCCTATGTCCCTGTTACCTAGCAGTAAAATAGGTACCTGGTGTTATGATCCCAGGTAGCCGAAAAACGAGTCTCCCCTTTGAGAATTATTCTATCAAGCCTGACCTGAATAGGAGGTCGGAAATACAGACATAAAGATTCATATGTAAAAATAATTGGGTAAATTTTACACGGAGTTTTAGATTATGGGCAGTGCATAAGGAAACAGATAAATGACTAGTTAGGAGATGTGGATAATTTGCTGGAGGCGTGAGGCTCGGTTCTGGAGGGCTTTGACCTCACTTGAGGCCAGACATCGCAGGGGGAAAGCCGCGCTCCGTTTGAGCTCTCGTCAGGAAGGAACCCCTAGTGATTTATCTCTAAGAGAAGAGAAATGTGCAGACATGCCAGCTGTGGAAATGAGCTGAGAACGTTGTGGTCTCAAGTCCTGGACGGCGAGGAGAGTTTATTAAGCTGCTCAGAGGCATTTTCGTGGGCTGTGTGGAGCGCCCTGACCAGACGCCATCAGAGGGATAGCGCCCTCGACTAGACAATCTGTGGTAAGCGCGATTTAAGCCAGTTCATATTGATTGCTTGTAGTTGGTCGTGTGCCCAGCGACAGTAGCAATGTTTATTTATAAGTTAGACATGTTTTGATAAGGCAGAAAGCCTAAAATAAGAGAGTGGAGAAGGAGGAACACGGAGCGACGTCCGTCCCCTCTGAGCGCTGGCAGGTAACTGAGGGCGGAGGCCCCTCCCGGAGTGAGGCCCGCCGGGCGAGGTGGAGTATGGACCCGCTCAACGGGGAAGTCCACTCTCACAGTTTGTAGAGGACAGATAGAGGTTGGAGGCAAACATATTGTATGATTATTTTTGTTTATGTGTTAAAGGGGAAACATTTTTATTGGAGTGTCAATGGGTTGCAGGTTTGTCTTTGGGGAAGAAGTTGCTGAGAACTTCGAAGCCAGCACAGAGGGAGTAATTGATGAGACTCAAGGTAGTGGAAGAGAGGACCTCGAGCGGTGAGGAGAAGCAGTGAAGAGGAGTGCCACGTGCTTCTGTAGAGGTGGTGAAGCACCATAGTTGCTCGAGGGAACTTCATGGTGTAGCAGCCCAGAGAGCTGTGGAGGAACCTAGCAGAAGGGTGAAGCACCGTAGTTACTCAAGGAAACTTCATGGTAGCAGCCTGGAGGAGCTGCAGAGGATCCTGGTAGTTAAGCCTGGAAGAACCTAAAGATATCAGGGTAGTGAACTTCCAGAGGTGGAAGGGAAGTTCTGGTGTATTACTTGTAGGGTTTGGTAGTGTTTGATAGTGTTTGGTTGTCAATAGCGTGCAAGACGCAGTGGGAGGTGAGTGATATTTTGCATTCTTATGTCAAGGAGTGTTTTATACTGAAGTTTAGAGTTACAGTCGTAGGCTGGATTACCTACAGATGTATGTGTTCTAGGTCTGATAGAGTGATCGATTGATCATTGTTGTGTATCTTGAGAGGTTATCTTGAGATGATTTCGGGGCTTTAGTGTCCCCGCGGCCCGGTCCTCGACCAGGCCTCCACCCCCAGGAAGCAGCCCGTGACAGCTGACTAACTCCCAGGTACCTATTTACTGCTAGGTAACAGGGGCATTCAGGGTGAAAGAAACTTTGCCCATTTGTTTCTGCCTCGTGCGGGAATAGAACCCGCGCCACAGAATTACGAGACCTGCGCGCTATCCACCAGGCTATGAGGCCCCCTGTATCAAGGAACATTTATACTGATATATGTTATTGCATTCACATGCTGATTTTCTTTGTACACATTTATAGATACATATATATATATTCTCTTGCTGATGGTGCAACAGTGTATGTAGACTTGATCAACTTGAGGAGGTTGATGGTATCAGGTGGTGAACCAGGAGACAGGATACCACTTGATAAGCTGATGAGAGAGTTCTGATGGTGTTGGAGTGCAACCTGATATAGTTGCACTCCATAGTATAGAGTATAGGATTCATTATTATTATATGTGTGTATGTATTGTGTATGTGCTTTGTCCAGTAAATGTATTCCAATTTGCTGGTGTTTGCCCTTGTCCTAGTGAGGCTTCCCAGGAAATAGTAAAGAAAGAGAGAGAGAGAAAGAACCAAGAACCACCGCTGTGGACAGGGTAGGATGGAAGATTAGTAAGTTAAAGGGGATTGAGGAGATCATATCACATAAGGAGAGAGTGGGGAGTCACAGCAGCTCGAGTGGGTGTGTGCACGTGACAACGAGGCTAAGTGTTGGGGCCACATCCCCTAAATGTGTGACGTTGAGCCCCTTGCCAAGAGCCAGAAGCGCCTAGTGTGATCTCCTAGCGAGGTATAAGCACTCTACCGAGTTGTGGGTTGGGTTGTCTGCAAAGGAGGAACAACACGACAACACCACCAACACACAAACTATAATACCTGGGTGTTAGTCAGCTGTCACGGGCTGCTTCCTAGTGGTGGAGGCCTGGTCGAGGACCGGGCCGCGGGGACACTAAAAGCCCCGAAATCATCTCCAGATAACCTCCAGATAACCCATGCTTTAGGGCCCCCGGCCAGTAACTCCACCTATGCTGTAGGGCCCCGGGCCAGTAACTCCACCCATGCTATATGGCTCCTGGCCAGTAACTCCACCCATGCTGTAGGGCCCCGGGCTAGTAACTCCACCCATGCTATATGGCTCCTGGCCAGTAACTCCACCCATGCTGTAGGGCCCCGGGCCAGTAACTCCACCCATGCTATATGGCTCCTGGCCAGTAACTCCACCCATGCTGTAGGGTCCCGGGCCAGTTACTCCAGTACTGCTGTAGAGCCCTGGGCGGGTCCACTCATGCTGTAGGGCCCCCGGCCAGTAACTGCACCCATGCTATATGGCTCCTGGCCAGTAACTGCACCCATGCTGTAGGGCCCTGGGCCTGTAACTCCACCCATGCTGTAGGGCCTCAGGCCGGTAACTCCACCCATTCTGTATGGCCCCGGGTCAGTAACTCCACCCATGCTGTAGGGCCCCGGGCCGGTAAATTTACCCATGCTGTAGGGCCCCGGGTCGGTAACTCTACCCATGCTTTAGAGACGTGGGCGGGTAACTCCATTCATGCTGTAGAGCCCCCGAGCCAGTAATTCTACCCATGCTGTAGATCCCTTGGCGAGTAACTCCACCCATGCTGTAGGGGCCCGGACCGGTAACTCCACCCATGCTTTAGAGCCCTGGATGGGTAACTCCACCTATGCTGTAGGGCCCCGTGCAGGGTGCACTAGTGCTGTAGGGGCCCTGGGCGGGTAATTCCACCTATGCTGTAGGGCCCCAGGCCGATAACTCTAACCAGGCTGTAGTGCCCTGGGCGGGTAACTCCCCCCATGCTGTAGAGCCTCGGGCTGGTAACTCCACCCATGCTGTAGGGCCCGGGCCGGTAACTCCACCTATGCTGTAGGGCCCCGGGCAGGTTACTCCAATCCTGCTGTAGCTCCCCCGGCTGGTAACTCACCGATGCTGTAGGGACCCTGGGCCGGTAACTTCACCAATGCTGTAAGGCCCCGGGCAGGTGACTGCACTCATGCTGTAGGGCCCCCTGGTAGATAACTCCACCTACGCTGGCGGGAGGGGTTGTTATGGTCCTCGGGCGCCCTCGGCTTGCTCACTTGTTGTACTTGACTCTTCTAACTCCTGGTTACCACCATTTATTTGTTGGTGATTTGCAGTGTCACGAGAGGAGTTTTCTGCGATTTCCACGGTCTATACGGTACAGCACAGACTGATCATGGGTGTTTGTGATCGCTTCTCCTAAGCGGAGAAGTGATTTAAGGCTGTATTTAGTGTCCATCCAAGGAGCTGTCATGGAAGGGAGGTGGCAAAATAGATGAGCCAGCTCAGTGTGTACTGGGGGTCTGATCTATAGGTTTTCGGTTTTTGTAGACCAAAACGCATAATATAGCCCTGTTACTTCTCAGTTTGACGTTTTTTCGGCTACATTCGCTTCACTTATATAAATTAAACGTTATACCCCTGAGGTCATGAGAGCTCATCTTTAATAAAAAACTTACTGTACCATAGATACAAGGTCTAACACAGAATAAGCATTGCGTCTTTTTCCATATATATATTTGCCAACGTTGCCTTGGAAACGTTGGTTGTGAGGGGCTGAAGAAATTAGTTTGAGTACGCCTATAGCCACGGGAGCTCCGCTATATTAATAATACCAAACTTCACCGTGGTCACTGTTAGTTCAGAACCAACAACTTACCTCCAACAAAGACGCAGAAGATGCCATAGAAGTCCTGCAGGTCCATTGGTCTGAGGGAGTCGGTGAGGACATTGGACAGCATGAGACACTCGCTGGCATTGACCACTGCCTGACGGACCAGGTGTTGCAAGATCCCTGACTCTCGCAGCCTCACAATTCTGTGAGGAACACCTCTCATTACCGGCTACCCATGGGGCTACTAGATACTGGAAATTCCAGAAAACATCTGCTAAAATCTACATCCTACTTATAGCCCGAAATATGTTTATGAATGACATTGTCCTTAAGAAGTTTACCTCGGAAGGCTTAAGACGTTACTCACTTGTACTGCTGGTAAACCTATGTTAACTTATTTTGTGAGATTTTTTACTCCAACTGTGAAATTCTGAGTGCTAAAATAAACTTACATAGGATCGATCTTAGCCTTAAGGGGAGA